TCATCAACATAGATTTGAACTAATAGAATATCATGCTCCATTTTCTTAATGAAAATAGTTTTATCAACTTATCCTCTCTGGAACTTGTTTTCAAGCAAGAATTTCCATAAATGGTCATACAATGCTCTAAGAGCTTGTTTCAGACCATATAGTGTCTTTTTAAGCTTGAAGACATGGTCTGGAAAAGTTAGGTTAATAAAACCTGGAAGTTGGTCAATGAATACCTCCTCTTGGATGTAACCATTTAGAAAGACACTTTTTACATCCATTTGAAATAATTTGAAATTCATGACGCAGGAGAAGGATAATAATATCCTTATGGCTTCCAATCTAGATACACGAACATAGGTTTCATCGAAATCTATTGCTTCCTTATAATTGTATCCTTTCATAATGAGACTCGTTTTATTTCTTAAAACATTACCATCTTCATCCACTTGTTACGAAAGACATATCGAGTACCAATAACTAAATTCGATAAGGCTTTGGAAATGAGTTCCCAAACATTGTTTCGTTCAAATTGATTTAGCTATTCTCGCATAGAAAAAGACCAATGTCCATCGAATATAGCTTCGTTGATTCCAGTTGATTTAATTTGTGAAACAAAATCCACAAAGTTACATACCTTATTAAGATATTGTCGTGTAGTGACTCCCTTGGATATATCTCTCATAGCATTCAGAATCAAATGGTCTTTTGTCATTCTCCATTATTTGGGAGATATGGATGTTTTTGCAAAGTGTATGAAATTTGATCCTGAGCTAGTTCTTCAGTTGGGACATGATTTTCTTTTTCCTTTTGATTGTCTTCTTGATTTATTTTTTCCTAGGATATATGGACAATCAATAACTTATACTTATATAGTTTAGGGTTTAGATTCATCAAAGGTTACATGAATTGATTCTTCTGTTGTTCGAGTTCTGCTTTTCCTAATGAAAATAACATAGCAATGTGACATTCTTTATTGTAGTAGTTCCATTCTAAGGTTTTATTGTGATATCTAGTTTTGGTCTTACATATATTCTAAAATTTATTACTATTGTTCTTGGGCTTATAACCTAATATCTCTTTATTGTAGGAGGCTCCTTGATTTGCTAATAATACTTCTATTTTTTCTCTTTCTTTGGTGAACTTCACAAGTGTTTTTCGTTGAACGTAAATTTCATTTTTTAGATTTTCGCAGCTATCTCAAATGTCAAGTTCATCATCTTTATTTAAAGTGGAAGCGTTCTTAATGAAGTCTTTTTGTTTCTCCCTAAGCATTTTTGTTTCCTTTACAATGGTTTTATTTTTATTTAAAGAGTGGAGATAGTATCCTTGTATGCATAAATAATTTACTATAGTTTGTTTGTTTCTTTTGTTATTTATTTTACATATTCTAAATAGATCATGATATGATAAGTGAGAGGTTATCTTATCATCCTGATGATTTTTCACTAGATAGGTGTTAGATTCTTCTTCTTCATCGCCCAAGGATTCCATATCATTGTCTTCCCATGCGACAAAATATTTCTTCTTTTTCTGAGTTTTCTAAATATTTTATTTTCTTTCTTGAATAGAGGGAAATATGGTTTTATATATCCTTTCTTTCCATAATTGTAGAATGTTGGAATGAATGATGTTTTTTTCTTCATCTTTTCCTTGCTCTTCCTTTAGCTTTTTCTCATTCTTCATGAATCTCTTGAATTTCTTCACTATAAGAGCCATGCCACCATCTGAGTCAGATTCTTTAACTTTAAACTCTAGACTATTGTTTTTATTTTCTCCTTCTTCATCAATGACAATTCGTTTGAGTTTCATTTCATGTTCTTGCAATTCCTTGGATTCACAAATCACAGTGACGTTAGGTTGCTAACTGTGGTTTAGGCATCTAGGAATTTTTATGACTAAGTCCTCATTTGATAATAGTTTCCCTAGAGTTCTCATATGACTCACGATGTGTGTAAATCATGTTTTCATTTGACCTATGTTCTCTTCAGGTTTCATTATGAAGAGTTCATACTTATGGGTTAATGTGCACAACATTGCCCTCTTTACCTCAGTAGTACCGTCATGTATAATTTGGAGGATGTCCCACATTTCTTTAGCAGTTTTATAGTGAGAAACTCACAAGAATACATCAAGACCAAGAGCGGTAGTGATGATATTCTTTGCTTTCAAACCATGTTGCAAATTCTCTTTATCCTCCTTGGACCAATCCTTTTAAGGTTTATCTACTATAACACCATTAGCTTCGTATGTAGGTACAAATTGTCCTTCTTTCACAACCTTCCAAATACCACAATCCATCCCTTCTATGAAAAATTTCATTTTCTCTTTCCACAAACTATACCCTTCTCCATTGAAGGATGGGGTTTTATTTAGTGAATAGCTTGAATACATTTTTCCTCATGAGATGATTAGTTCTTAACAGGAGTTAGGCTCTGATGCCGCTTATTGGACAAGTGACTTCAAGCACAAGAGTAAGGGTAATTATGGTATTTAAAATTCATGTTAAATTTTATACCTTTCTCGATTCAAATGTTATTAGTAATTTTCGTTGAGTGATTTTTTGCGAAAATAAAGTACTGAAAACAAAATTGCATAAATTAAAAAGGATAGGGTTAGATAAATTGCAACAAAGATTTATACATGTTTGACCGAATGTTGGTCTAGTCTTGTCCCCAAGAGTTCTTCTTGAGGGTTTGACTATAAACTTTGATGTTTTTAAGGTTATGCCCATAAACCTTAATACAATTTGATTTTGATATTTTTAGAGGCTTAGCCCAAGCCAATGACAGCTTTTACCCCATGCAAAGCTAACTAACCGTTTAGAGATTTATGACTTATCTCACTAATCAAAACAAATCTTTTTTTGAAAAAGATTAATAAAACAACCACCGAGTTTTTAAGTCACGTTTATCACACGAACCAAACTCGATCTCTCAAGAATATCACACTCTTAAGAATTTAAACGACCAACACAACTACTTACAAAAAAATTCTTCCTCACAAGTAAAGCCTCACTTACAAACACTATGGTAACATAAAGTGAAAATAAATATTTTCTAGAGAGATAAATAAAAAAATTAGAGAGATAAATTCCAAAGTAAAATTATGTTCCTCATGGGATAGATGTCGCATGCGATGTCTTAGCAAATGGTATAACATGTTAAACCATACTCACCACAACTTGTACAAGATGATGGAGCAGAAAAGAAATAAATAACATAATAAATTGGTAATCTATTTTGATGCAACCTGCACCTACATTTGGAGGGTTGATTTCCAACCCAAGAAAGGAAATTCACCATTAGTAGTTTAGTATAATTAGTCTTACAATCAATAATAAACCCTACATTATTCAATATCTTTTCCTAACAATATCCAATAACTTTCTATTTAGGACTCACCCTAAAAATGAGACACACTCTCACTTTCTATTTTTCAAACATTAACCCATAGTGTTTGGATTAGAATTACTGAACCCTAGTGAATAACTTCAATCAACAAGATGAGTGACGTTGAATCTTAAAACTCAACTTGAAAAACCTACGACTTTTCTAATTTACTAAAACATAGTGTGGTGTACATAAAACAATAACAAAGACTCTGAACAAACCAGATAACTCTAAAATATTCAATGTATGGCTTGCTTTCCAATGAGGGTTTTGAGCTCTTTATATAGCATCCTTTTTCCGAGCTTTTCTTCATGGATATTTGATATAATTTCATCCAGAAATAATGTAGAATCTATTAGATATTATTTGTTCCATAAATCTCTCCAACAAGATATAATTTGTTTTAATTTATATACAAGTTTAAGTCTCCATTTAAATATGAATAAATCTTCTTCCTATTTTAAAGCAACTCACCTGATCATATTGCAAAACCAATAGCAATAGAATCTGATCCAATCTTTATCCTGAGAGTCTTCTAAAATGCAGCAACAATGACCTGTTGTGCAAAACCCATATGTCGTAGCAAAAACCTAGGACATCATGTCTAAGATGCGTCCCTTTTGTACCTTCATACAGCTTAAGGAAGCAAGATTAATCTTGAATACTTTCAACACTTCTCCATGTTATTATTTTTCAAAATGTAGCCAATCCACAAGGAAATTCAATCACCCCTCTGGCAAATTGTGGCAAAACAACTCTTCAAGATATAATAGTTATTTAAAACATAAAAAGTGACAGTCAACTGAATCACTGGACAATCAAATCATATAATCAACAACATCAACTTTCTTCAAGTCATTAGAGTTAAGCATAATTTATGGTAGCAAAATTTAGTTGAATAATGATTTAGATGCTTACACATATTCCATTCAGTTGCTCTAAACCAAATAGGCAATCAAACATGCAATCATTCATAAACTTAGTCATGCATGTACCTAGTCAACACATAGTTAGTATCATACCATCCTACCAACTGACAATTATTAGCATGCAATCATTCACATACTTAATCATGCATAACACAAATAGTTAGCAGTTACTAACTGGATATGTAAGAAACTACTAACACAAAAGCTCACCAAAAGGGCATGATGTCTTGCCCGATGCTCCAACATGTGAGCACAACATTAGTACTTCTGAATTAGTACTAAAAAAATACAGGTACCTGTTATTTAGTCTCACTAACATAGATCACACCACACCACTACTCCCCTATTTTTCCATAATTTGGAAAAGGGTTAGTTGTTTAACATAACAGATAGAGGTTAGTTATGTAGAGGTTAGTATGTTAGTACATACACAACCATATCATGAGTAGAATAGCTAGATCAACATCAAAATATGCACAAGCATTATTCAAGTTCAACAAATCAATCTTTAATAAGCAAAAGAGCCTTTAAAAATCCAGAAGGAAATGCTTAAACTACAATGGCCAACAAACAGAACTGAAACAAAATTGTCCAATTCATCCACTAGGGTCAAAAGCTCTTTTTGATAGAGAGGCTTTCAGTATTTATGCCTGAGTGAAGCCAGATAGGTCATCCATTCTGCACCATCCTCTTAGTCACTTTCTTCTACAAATTTCTTCTTCACAGTCTTCATCCTCATAATCGAAGTCTTCCTAGATACAATTGCTCTAGTTGATGGTCCACCATGTGATCCTCCAACACATGCATGAGCAGAGGAACCATCTTCCTTTTTATTTTTCTTCTCAACCTCAAGAAACCTCTCCATTTCCTTGTTGATGTTGATACCCTTCTGAGAGGAAGTCCTCTTGAAACTTTCCTGGTTCTGCCTCACGTTGACTAAAATACACACTTGGAAGAAAGAAGAGAGATTTACTTTCTAAGTACTAGATAAAGGAATGAGAAAATTTTGTATGGCTGTAACACATGTCCAGATAAAAAGAGTGATTGAAAAAGAAGATATCACCCTAAATATACGTGCACCATAATGAATAGGAGATAGGATTTAGCTTGGTATCCATGCACGTTTCCCTAACATTGACTGTTATAGGATTTCACATATGGACACGCCCAATGCACTTCTCAATTTTTCAAAGTGGGTAACATCAAATGGCTTAGTGAATATGTCAACTAGTTGTTGGCCCGTTGTAATGTCCTCTAAATTGATCACTTTATCCTCCAAAGGATCCCTAATGAAATGAAGGCGAATGTCAATATGCATGGTTCTACTATGTTGGACATGATTCTTGAAAATATTGATAGCACTCATGTTCTCAAAGATTAATATCATGATATCTTATTCAACATTTTACTCCTTTAACATCTATTTCATCTAGATATATTAAGTGCAAATGCTTCCAGCAACAATATACTCAGCTTCAACAATGGATAGAGAGATATAATTCTGCTTCTTGATGAACCAAGAAATCAAATTGTTGCAAAGAAAGAAACATCCACCTGAAGTACTTTTATGTCATGAGTACTTCCAGTCCAATTTGCGCCATAATACCCTACTAGTATTGGATTTGTATCATAAGAGTACATTATGTCATAGTCATAAGTCCCACTAATATATTTTAAAATTTTCTTCACTTGGGTGAGATGACTAGCCTTGGGTTTTACTTGATATCTAGCACACACCCTAACATCAATGTGATATCAGGTATGTTAGTTGTGAGGTATAACAAGCTTCCTATCATACTTCTTCGGAGACTTTGATCTACATCAAAATTATTTTTATCCTTTGACAACTTAAAGTGAATTGCAGTAGGAGTTCTTTTGTGGCTTGCATTGTCAATACCAAACTTTTTCACTATGTTCTTAGCATATTTTCTTTGAGATACAAATATATTGTCTTTCATTTGACTTAATTGAAGACCAAGAAAGTAAGTGAGTTCACCTAGTAGAGTCATCTCAAACTCAGACTGCATTTATTGAACAAAGTGCTCCATCGTCGTGTTTGAAATCCCACCAAATACTATATCATCCTCATATATTTGGATTATCATAAGCTTTCCTTTATCATTTTTTTGCAATTGGTTTTTTTATAGAGTTGCCACCCTTAATTTTTATCCTAATGGAAGAGAGTATAAAGGAATAACCCTTAGGTTTAGAGATTCTAGATTTGGACTCAGTTCTAGACGAGGGGAAGGTGTTAGGCACCCCTTATCTATCTTGTTCACACGGATACTAGGTTTAGAAGCGCGTTTTTTAGGAAGTAGGGTTTTAATTATTGATATGGGAAAAGGTTTAAATTTTAGTTAGTGGGACTCGCCACGATTTTAATCGTATACCTACGTATCCTCTTAGGAGGAATCAGAGTCCCATTTCATAGTTCGCGGTTTGGTTGGTGTTTTTTATGAATTGTGAAATATATTTTGATTTTCCCGTGTACGTGGTCTAAGAGTATGAATAAGTGGAGTTTGTTAGACCAAGTACGCAGTTAACTTAAATGTATTCGTATTCCTTTTCGAAAATTAATGCTAAATTAATTTATTACGGAAAATAGTTTGGTGATCGTTTGAATATTTTAGACGTATAGCGGAGGAGTCAGATATAGCCCCCTCATCACGTGGCCAGATACTGGCCACGTGTCGCTTGCGGATATTGTAATTTAATAAATCACGGGTTTTAATATTTTAATATAAAATATTAAAAACAATTATATGTTGAGAAATGTTTTTTAATAATAAATTAAAGACGTGATTTAATGTAAATAAATATTATGTTTTAAATGAGTTTTAAAATACTAAATTATTTATAATAATAATAATAAATAATACATTTCAAAATATAAATATATATATATATATATATATATATATATATATATATATATATATATATATATATATATATATATATATATATATATATATATATATATATATATATAATATATAATAAATAAAATAAAAAATGAAACTAAAAAGAAAATAAATAAATAAAATAATTTCGCTGGGGGGTGGAGATTATATTACGATAACAAAGTTGAGAGGTTTAAATTAAAAGGGCCTGAATTCAGATTTTGAATTCAGGCCCAGAAGGCCAGGGGATGCAAATTTAGGCGCGTTAGTAATAATAAAAGAGTGGGGGTTATGAGTAACAATTGGGTTTAGAGATCTAAAGCCCAATAAAAATAAAAATAAACACAAAAAAGGCTTGCCAAAGGGTGGGCCGGGTTAAATTATGCAACAAAGATGTTTTCCCTTTTACAAACAGAATTGCCATTTTGTTTCAATCACTCCGCCTTTCTCTTTCTCCATCGTTATATCCCTTACGTCAAAACTCTAGATCAAAATCTAAAACCGTGGCGGCGAACCAAAACCCTACTCTCCTCCTCCCATCTCTGAACCAAAACCCACAATGAACCACTAAACAAAGAAGCTACGTCTTAACAATGAATTACCTCTAGCGTGCGTTTATGGCTGAGTTTTGATCCTGCCTTTTTTGATCTCTTTCTTTCTGGCACTTGCAGGTACACGGTGCTGGAGATGATTGCGAGCGGCGGTTCGCAGTGGAGGCAGAGGACGGAAATGGCGAGTCTGTCTTTGGGAGAAGCATATTGATGCTTTATAGAAGGATTCTCTACAACAAATTTCGTATATATTTTTTCTATATTTTTTTTCTTCTCTCTTCCCATGTGTTTCTCTCCGTCTCACTGTATTCTTTTTTTTCCATTTATTGTTTTTTTTCTTACTGTATTTTTTCCGTTACTGTTTCTTCCTCCCTCCTGTATCCCCTCTTTCATTTCTATACTTGGTTTAATTTATAGCAAACTTGGATTAGTAAATTAGGAATTTTAGCACTTTTTCTGTAAATTAATTCTGAGATTTAATTAGGGTTCTTGAAATAGGAAAAAATTGAAATGGGTGTCTGTAATTTATCACTTCGTTTTAAAAATGTTTCCATATTGGTATGATCTTGTTGTATAAGACATTGAGTCATGTTAATCTATATTAATTAGTTTCCAGTTTCGTCGAAATCCGCTTCTGATTCGTTATTGAGTTTTGATTTCGCTTATTAAGGCCTTAGAACAACATTCTTTCCATCCACGCTCGTGCTTGATTTCCACATTACATGTTGGTGGTATTGGTTTGGGCCACATGTACTCTGCTTTGGGCCACAATATTAATTTCAGGCCTGGTTATGCGTTAACTTTTTTTGTACATAATAAACTTCTTCCTGATTTTATCAACAATATTTGTTTTGGGCCTTGTACCAAAAACACCATTTTGAAACACTAAACAAATCTGAACAACAAAAAAGAAAGTAGTTTTCAAAACAAATTAACAAAGAAACTTGTAAAGGGCCCGTGGCATTTTGGGCTTGTTAGCTCAGAAAAAAATGCTTTAAAAATTAAAAACATTAATAAAAAACAAAGTTTTCTCCAAAAAAGAAATGGGCCAGGTGTTTTGGTTACTGGGCCTACATTTTGCCTTGGGCCTACAAGAGAAACTTCAACATTTTCTTTTTAATAAGAAACAAAAAAAAACCATTTTTAATCAAAGGTTTAGTTAAAAGGAAATAGATCAAAAGTTCACTCTATTGGGCTTTTTCATAAACAAGTTGCTATGGGCTTTAATGAAAAACAAATATTTTACAAACCCTCTCAACCTTACTTAATAACCTGAATGAGCCTTTTAGAGATTTATTCACACCTTATCTAAAACAAATACACCCCTTATTAATAAACAGACTCCATTTCGAATCCTAATGGGCTATCAGATATTGATGGTCCATTTTAAATTAACACACCCATTTGACTTTAAACACCCCCATAAAAGTGAGAACTAAATAATACGATTTATTTAAAGAAACCCTAAATTAGGGTAGGGAAAATTTGGGGTATAACACATTTTTCACTAATAGAGGTTTGTCGATTCCCCCTCTATTATGTCATTTGTTGATCAAGAACTTAGTTAACCTCTCCTACCATGTTCTTGGATCTTGTTTCAACCCATTACGAGTTTTCTTTAGTTTGTACATATGATATGCAAAGATGGGATCAGTGGACCCCTTTGGTAGGTCAACATAGACTTCTTCATCAAGATACCCATTTAGAAAAGCATTTTTTACATCCATTTGAAATAATTTGAACTTCATCAAGCATGAATTGCCTAGCAACAACCTGATGGATTCAAGTATTGCAACTGGGGCACATGTCTCATCAAAATCCACATATTCTATTTGAGTATATCCTTGAGCAACTAACATAGCCTTGTTCCTTATCACATTACCATTTTCATCATATTTGTTTATAAAAACCCACTTGGTACCATTGACATTTACATCTTTAGGTCTATGAACTAACTCCATACAATATTTTTTAAAATTGCAAAAGTTCTTCTTGCAGAGCATTTATCCAAAATTCACCAGTCAATGCTTCTTTCACATTCTTAGGCTCAACCTTAGAGATGAAGCATGAGTTGGAAATACTCACTACTACAAACAACGCTTTTCACGACGAAGCTTTCACCTCAGAAAAAGAAAAACTACGGTATAAAGCCAAGGAGCACCATCTTTTATTATTTATTAAAATAAAAAACCACAAATTCCCTCGGTTTTTAATATAACCGAGGGGAAAAATAACTTAGTACATGTTTCAATTTCTAGCTAACGCAATTTATGTTTTTATTTATTTATAAATGTAGACAAAATATTCTACCCCTTCAGTTATATATTTAACTGAGGTAAATAAATAATAATATTTTCTATAAAAGCACTCGTTAAACAGATTTTATCCTAATCTCTAGTAATATGAAGTTGCCCCAAACTCGCAAGCATAATTCTTTAGGACGGATTGCAAGACTGAAAAAATGTTCTACAATCTTGAACAAAACTTTTTTCTGCCCTTGCAATCTATCTCACATAATGGTGTTGATGTTGTCATTGTATTTTTGGAATACACTTTCTATGAAGGATTGCAAGTGTAGAAAAAACATTTTCCAATGCATTAGAAGTTGGATGCATTCAAACCATTGAGTTTAAGGGTATGCAATAAAACATGTATGATGAAAGATGGATATTCAACAAAAGATGTATGATGAAAGATGGATTGTTAGCTTTGATTGAAAATTTAGCTTCTAAATCTGAGTTTTCAATCTAAGAAATAGTAAGAAATTTTTTGTGTACTTGTCTCTCTTCAAACAAACAGACAGGTAAAAGTGGTGATTTTGAAGGCAAACTTGTGTCATTCAAACATCATTCTTCATGATCGATTGCAAGTGCAGAAAAGATTTCTTGTAAACAATTTATTTTAATATTCTGTGTAAATGTAATCATTAAAAAAAGAATTCACCTCGATTTTATTACATAAACCGAGGTGATAGTTAAAAAGGGATGATAAAATACCTCAATTTTATTATTAAACTAAGGGGTATAATAATTATATTTTACTATAAAAATACTTGTTACACAGATTGTACCCTAATCCTTAATAATATGAAGCTACCGCAAAGAGAGGAAATATTTACACTAGTCAATTTCATGAGTTGCTACAACATATTTATTGGATAGATTACAAGTGCAGAAATCGATATAAAAGATTTGCTACAACATATATATACCCCTCGGTGTTTTGGAGAAACCAATATAAAAGATATGCTAGTTTTGAAAATAATAAAAGTGCGGCTCCTGGAGTTTGAACTCGTGTCCATATAACTATACCCCTCGGGTTTTGAAATACCGAGGTGTTAAGTGGAGACTTTTCATGACGACCTTGGTCACCTCGCTTCTTTTTCAAATGTAAAACGCATTTTGCGTCAGAGGTTAGAAGCGTTATTTATTATAGTGACTCTCTCCGGATCTTTTTTACCACTAAATCATGTATATTTCATATGATATTCTCAATAGAATGATCCTTCAAAACTATGATTGATGGTCCCTTATTCACTTTAAAATTATCATAATTTGTAATTCCAAACTCAATGTTGAACTCCTTGTGTGAAACATCATCTAGAACATCAATCGGTTGTGAGGGAACCCCATCTTCTTCATCTTGCTTATTTTCAAGAGCATCATCAATAACAATTTTTATAGACTACATCATGGTCTTAGTTCTCTTGTTAAACACTCTATAGGCTCTGATATTTATGGAGTGCCAAGGAATATTCCTTCCTCACTTTTGGGATCCATTTTTCTCCTCTACTCTCTATCTGCCAGGATGTAGCACTTACTTCCAAAGACATGGAAGTACTTGAAATTTGACTTTCGCCCTTTCCATAACTCATACGATTTTTCTTTAGTGCAGTATATGATGGTTAATATACTAGGAATATGGTGGGTTGTGTTCATAGCTTCAACCTAGAAGTAATATGGAAATTTCTTGGCATGCAACATAACTCTTGCTGATTCTTGTAGAGTTTTGTTCTTCCTTTCCACCACTATATTTTGCTATGGAGTGATTGGGGCTAAGAAATCGTGGATAATACGTTCTTAATTATAAAATTCAGAGAATTTTGAATTCTCAAACTCCATGCCATGGCCACTTCTGATTTTTACTATTCTAGACCCCTTTTCGCTTTGAAGAAGTTGACATATCTCTTTGAAAACTTAAAATGTGTTAGATTTTTCTTTAATGAGTTTAACACAAGTGTACAAATAGAATCCATCCATACACACAAAGACATATTTTTCCCTCCTAGGATTTCTACTCGCACATGCCTTATCAACTCCATGTACAATAGTTCAAGAACCTTTGAGGTGGCAAGATGTTGGAGCTTCTTGTGAGGCATCATGGCCTGCTTGCCTATTTGACATTCTCCATAGAATTTTCCTTCTTCAATCTTGAGCTTAGCCAATCCATTTACAACTTCATCATGAATAATTTTCCTCATGCTCTTTAGGTTGGGATGACCAAGTTTTTGGTTCCAAAGCTTGGTCTCATCAACTTTTGTCATTAGACATATTGAAGAGTCTCCTTTGTTTGGAGATATCCACATATAACAATTATCCTTAGACCTTTCTTCTTTCATAATCACTTTTTGTCCTTGGCTAGAAACAATATATTATAATCTGTTGAAGCTCACTTTAAGACCTTGATCACACAACTGACTTATACAAATCAGGTTGGCAGTCAGTCCTTCTACCAACAGTACCTTGCAAAAGGCTAGGAAGACCATGATACATTAGTTTCCCTTTGACCTTGATTATTCCTTTTGCACCATCGCCAAAAGTAACATAGCTATTTTTGTAGCGTTTAATCGTGTCAAGATAAGTCTTCTCCCCTTTCATATGTCTAGAACAAGCACTATCAAAATACCAATCTTCTCTAGAGAACACTCTGAGTGTTGTATGAGCTATGAGGCTCTAGGATTCTTTCATACCCTAATTTTTTACCCCTAATATTTCACGTATCATATCATTTTTCATCTCATAGAGATCAAAAACACGGTATCCTCGTAAATTTACCTTTTGGGTTCAACCTTTGTGTGAGATCATCAAGCACACTTTGTGTTTCTTTTTGCATCTATTGTTTGTTTATATTTCTTTACTTTACTAACATATTTCAAAATACAAAAATATGTGTTACTTTCTTTTAATTTTGCTCAAGGTAGGGATTTATAATCAATGGATCAAGCTTGGTTTCCAAATTAGGGTTTTGATTCTCAAAGGAAAATTGTGATCAACAAGTAGTTCTCA